TTTTTTTTTTTTTTTTTTTTTTTTTTTTTATGCATGCATTTTTTTTGGGGCTTTTTTTTGTTGCTGTTGTACAGGTCGTTACAGCCCAGACTTAGTAAAAGTATTCAACATACAAGGAAGTGTCTCTCTATAGCAGCAGCAGCTGCTGCAGTAGCAGCAGCAGCAGCTGCTGCTGCTGCAGCTGCTGCAGCTGCTGCCTGACACCTGGAGAGAAAAAGGAGACAGTTGGGGGGTCTGGGGCCCCACACCTCATTAAGTGTCTCCTTTTTTCTCCTTTTTTAGACATTTTTTGCCTCAAACTGTCTCCTCTTTTTTTTTTCTTTTTGTCTCCTTAATTGTCTCCTTTTTTGTCCCCTTAATTGTCCCCTTTTTTGTCTCCCCTTTTGTCTCCTTGCAATAAGAAGCTAGATTGGGGGGCCCCCAACAAGGGTGGGGCCCCTATGGGTTCAGCATGGGGGGCCCCCATCTACCCCCTTTATGTTTGTTCTTATGTAACCTAATTAATATATACAATATAATTATATTTTATTTATATTTATTTATTTATTTATATTTATTTATATATATTATTATTTATTTATATTAATATATTTATATTAATAATAATTTATATACTACTACTAATATAGTATATATACCTATATTAATAGAGGAATAATTAACTTAATATACTATTATATATATAATTAAATAAATAAATAAATAAATAAATAAATAAAAGTACAACTGTCTCCTTTACTACCTAATTAATTATTTATATAAGTAATTAATATTTATACGAAGTCTCTCCCCTACAGGGTTAGGTGGGGTCCCCCCATGCTGAACCCATAGGGGCCCCACCCTTGTTGGGGGCCCCCTTCCTGGGGTTCCCCCTCCTTGCTGGCCTGACTGGGCCTAGCTAGCTGCTTATATCTAGCAATTTAGCTAGCTAGCTATCTAGCTAGCTAGCTAGTTAGCAATACCTACAACTAGCTAGCTAGCTAGCTAGCTAGCCACCTATCTATCCACCAATCTAGCTAGCTAGCTAGCTAGCTAGCCACCCATCCATCAATCCATCTAGCTAGCTAGCTAGTTAGCTAGGTAGCTAGGTAGCTAGCTAGCTAATAATTAATTAAGATTGTTGCTGTGTATCTGCAGGTTGCTGTGCATGCAGTGCCCTTTGTACGATCTCTAATGTATCAGGAGATAATCCAGGTGTCTCCTTTATGCGCAGCAGCTGCTGCTGCTGCTGCTGCTGTCTCCTTTTATCATATCTTTGCCATTGTAAGAAAGCACCCGCTAATCTTGCTGCTACTTGAGGATTAAATGCATCCACCTACATGCAGCAGCAGCAGCAGCAGCAGCAGCAGCAGCAGCAGCAGCAAGAGGTGCAGCAATAGTGCAGCAACAGCAAGAGGTGCAGCAAATGCAGCAGACAGAAGAAGAGACATCAACAGCAACAAGGAGAAAAACACATACAGCAACACAACAAAGACAGCAGCAGCAGCAGGAAGACAACAAAGACAGCAGCAGCAGCAGGAAGACAACAGAGACAGCAGCAGCAGCAGGAAGACAACAGAGACAGCAGCAGCAGCAGGAAGACAACATAGCCTAATAGAAGCATCAGCAATAAGTTGGTATCCTTAACAATCAATTATATGATTATATAAGTAATAAACAGCAGCAGCAGCAAGACAGGAGCAGCAGCAACAGCAGTATAACGAATACAGCAGCAGCAGCAGCAATACAGCAGCAGCAGCAGCAGCAAGACAGCAATATAACGAATACAGCAGCTGCAGGAGTACAACAACTATCAATAGGATCAGGAGAAGAAGAAGAAGAAGAAGAAGAAGGAGGAGGAGGAGGAGGAGGAGGGCATACCTTAATAACAGCATCAGCAATAAGTTTGTATCCTTGTCCATCAATTCTATGATAATGTATATGATTATATATAAAAGAATTAAATAGGGAACGAAGACGATTAGGATTTTTATAATTAAATAATTCGTGTCTTTGTAAAGACACGACTCTCTCTACTTGATTAGGTATATCTGAACTACCTTCTCCTCTAAAATATTTATCCATCAATAATTCATCACCTATATATACACACAAATATGTTTGCTGCTCATGCTGCACCTGATGCTGCTGCTGCTGCTGCTGCTGCTGTTGGTGATTATGCGCTTTCTTGTGGTGTTTTTGGTGTTTTTTGGTCAACTAGGGTCCTTATAGAAGGGAAAAAAGAAGAAAAAAAAAACAGCAGCAGCAGCAGCAGCAGCAACAGCAGCAGCAGCAGCAACAGCAGCAGGAGAAGGAGACAACGTACCTTTTGCTTCCTCAAAGAAAGAATTGAATACTTTGTCTCTTATTGGTGAATTAAAATTAGCAATAAGAAGAAATGCTGAATATTTATCCGTCATACATTTACTATTTATATATTGTTTATATACAATTTCTTCTGCTGCTGCTGCTGCTGCTGCTGCTGCTGCTGCTGCTGATGGATCTACTGATGCTAATGGTGTATCCTTCTCTGCTAATGGATTTGTTGCTGCTGCTGCTATAAATCTTAATAATGTATTACGTAGTCTCCTTCTTGCTATTGCTTTTGCATCTAGTGTCTCCTCCTCTTCTTCTTCTTTTTCTTCTTTTTCTTGTTTTTTTTTCTCTTTTTTCTTCTTTTCTTTCTCTTTTTCTTCCTCTTCTTCCTCCTTTATTAATTCATTATATAAATCTATTAATTCCTTATTATATACACTAGCTATCTCCTCCTTAGCTGTACGTACAGCTAAATATAAATTATCTATATCTATTATAGGCATTTCTTGTGCTAATACCTCTATAGAAGGAAATTGTAATGTTAATGCCTATACAATGTAAATAAATAAATAAATAAATAAATAAATAAATAAATAAATAAATAAATAAATAAATAAA